CATCTACCAACTGGTCAGGTATCAGAGGAGCTATCCTACCAACATGAACCAGCTGGAACTGGCCAAAGTAAACTGCACAAGGAGGACTGAAGAAAGACTGCAATGCCTATACTCAAACAACTAAAGCAGAGGGATTCTCTGAAGGGAAAGATTCAAAAGAGAATGGCTATTCAAAGCCCCATTCCAACCCTCTCTAAAGTACTCTCATTTAAGCGGAAAAACAAATTAGCCCCTACAGGCATTTATATTTAGAAGGGGAAAAGAGAAGAAAAGCCCACCTTTGAACACTTAAGGTCTCCAACATGACCATCCAGCAATCATTTCAGGGCAAGACTATCACCCTGCATCTTCTGCTCTGCCTTTTAAATGGAAGGGACCCCCACACCCCATCCTCCTCAAAGTAGGAAGTGGGGATAGGAGATGCATGGAGAACAAAGAATGGTGAGTTCCTTTCACCTTACTGAGGACAGATGTAGTTTAAAAAAAAAAAAAAAAAATCTGCATTGAGATAATTGCTCACTTTAAAATACCAAACTGCAAACAGGTAGACTGAATGATCATGTGTGAGAGCCCTAAAACCACACAAAGATGTGTCTATTAAAAGAACATAAAAATGAATCTATTACAGAAAGGCTAAGTATGTGATTGATGGCACGCACATGTGCTCTCATTTTTAAAGCCACATTTATTTAGTGATTGTATCCTTATAAAGAAAATCTAGAGAATAAGGGCAGTTCTGATTTTTTTTTCATCTACCAAGACACTGTTTCAAAAATGAAAGAGATTTACAGTAACTGACAAACACACAAATCACATACAAAAAAAAAAAAAAAAAAAGCCAGCTATTTTATCCTTTCAATGTGGTTACCAAGGCTCCTTTGTGTCTACAAATTTCTCAGAGTGGTGCTGTTGCCAAGAAATTCTAATATATGACAAGGTTTTCTGCAAATTGGGACAGTGGCAAACCTGCGGATGGACAGATCCTACAGTTTGCTTTGTCTTTCTGGCTGAGGCAGCACCTGGCTACCCAGGCCTGCAGAAGGCAAGGCAAAGGCAAGACCATACAGAGGGAAAGTCATTCCCATCCCTGATACCATGAGGCTGTTCTTGGAAGGCAACCATTTCTGTAGGCTTTCCCCTAGAGATACCTCATACCAAAAGCCCTCATAAAAAGTGTTTCAGGGTGCCTGAAACCAAGATGAAATTGCAGAGTTATAGGGACACTTTAATCCTGACGGTAGCCAAGTATGCCATTAGTTTAAAACAATGGGGGAGAGGAGGAGGGAGGAATGTTCTATGATTTATTTATTTGTTTCCAGTAGCAGTGGAAAATTTTCTCCAAGCAAAAGTGAAGCCTGAAACTGACCCCATTTGCCAATTATGAATCAGCACTAACAATAAGCATAATTCTATAAGTTTTCAAGTAAACATGCCATGCTCCTCAACAACATGTAGCAAAGTTAAGTCCAAATAAGACTTAGAGTACCACAGTTTGAACTAGCCTCGTAAAACAGCAGGCTGGGAATTTAGAATCTATAAAAATTCTGTCTTTGTATAGTCTGGAGGAAAATAAGGGTGTTAATATGAATTTTTTTATGTTCCAAGTCAACAGCGGGTTTAAAGAGTCATACTTCTCTTGGTAACATAAATCATGAATGTATCCCCCTTTATCATTAAGCGGTATCCTAAAATCTACCCTACCTTCTTTCTTAGCCTTGACTCTTTCCTACTTTTGCTCAAACAGCTTTTGGGAAATTTCCTGCAAGTTTCTAAAGAGCTAAGGCTAGTAGCCTTAAGAGTTGTGTCAGCTGAATCCCATAAAACAACAGACCACATAGCACAGTTAATTTATAGTTATATGACAGGCAGAGATGATATTACTTGGGCCAAGTGCTTAAGTGTGCAGCCAGAGTCCAGGAATGGAGAGCTGTTAATATGAGATGATCATTTGGGCTTCTTAATTATACCAACAATGATTTTTGGCATTGAAGCTCCATGTAGATAAGGTAAAGCCTTAGAATTCAACATGAAAATCATAATCTCCATGACAGGAAGTGGCCCTGTCATAATCAGTGTCTTTGTCACAGACTCACCAAAACAGGAAATTATCCTATATCATAAGTTGGAAATACAGTCCACAAATATCCTATCCTCAATTTTCCCATACATAGATGTTCTTGGGTTTACCATCCAAAGTCATTATTTCTCTAGAAATCAAATCAGATTATCGAGACCTCTATTTTTTCCCTTATCTCCCTGAGGCCAGGTACCCTGTTCACTTTAAGAAAAACATCTAATAATTACTCCTCATTTGACTTCTAAAATCTGATTACCCCACAGCATCAGGAAACTTCTTCCTGCCTGGGTTTTTGTAGCAACCTTCTTGAGCTGTTTTGAGCAAAGGAGTTTCAAAATTTCACCATCTGATCGTTGATTTTGAACTAAGAGTTGCATAAAACCACCACTATCCCTTTAGACTCAGAAGCAGCAAGGGAGTGCGGGGAGGCAGAGGAAGGAAGAGATAAAGACTAAAGGTTTTGTCATCAACATGAACTCAGAGTGGTAGTTACCTTTATATAGAGCAGACATACAGACTACAGAGTCCTGAGCAGGATGATCCTCACTGTGGTACCTTGTTTACGAGTGTTTACCCACAAGTTATGCTTCCATATGGACTATGAGCCTCTGAGATAACTTGGAGAAGGGTTTTAGACAAGAGGAGTTACCAATGGGAGATGGTTGAGGCAAGAAACAAGAAAGGGGGGCAGGACTGAGAAATCTTTTGCCTGGAGATGGAAACTAAGCTAGTGATTTCTGGAAGGGGAAAGAAGGGGGAAGGAAAAGAGAGGAGGAAGGAGGCGGAGGTCCAGAAGAAGAGTAGAGCTGGCTTCTGAGGAAACAATAGATCTAGTACAGCCCCTGACTATCAAGCCAACTATGCTGCCTTGCAGCTGTAGAGCTTGTCCTGGATCCTCTAGGCAGATCTAGAAAGGCAGGTTTCCTCTGAAGAGGCCTTCCCGGCAAAGCAGGCTTTACTACTGTGAAAACTTGAACCAAAACAAAGTTGTGTGATTCATCTGGAGGGAACGTTGTAACAAATAAAGCCAACTTTCTTCCCTCCAACACTGCTTAGCAGTTAGTCACAAACAAGGGCTGCCTGGGGCAGGCTGACTAAGCCAACAGATCCCCTTCCCTAACTAGTCTAGACAGTTATTAATATGCAACCGATTCCATGCCATTGGGTTGATGGTGTGAAATGAAGGCTATTTAGAAAACAAAACTCTGGCAATATTTTGGTTAAATTCACATGCTAAATCATAAAGGATGAATATGCTCCAATGAGATCCTTCATGAGATATAGTCTTGTTAAAGATGAGGGAAAGGAGGCATTAAAGAAATAATCTTTAAAAAAAAAAAAAAAAACATGTGAAATGTGCATGTGTGTTTAGAGGAAGAGTATCTGCCGGTATCTTTGGACTAGAATGCATGCACTGCATGGATGCATACACAGACACCAGCGGCCAATACTGGCCAATACTCACAGCTTCTAGCCAGGGAGAACAAACAACTAGTAACAATGGTACAATCAGAGGAGCGCTCTGCCACTAGGCTTCTTATACCATAAGCTAAACCTCTCTTCCTAAAAGCAGCAACTGTTACATCCCAGCCTCAAGCTGGCAAATCCTGCTTTGGATCCTGGCAGAGGAAATTCAGTCCTTCATTAGCCTTAACAAGCTGCTGTCATTGAGCAGAGAAGTTACAAGAGCAGCAACACACCATGGATCTCACAGCCCTCCCCAAGGGCAAGCAGTTTTCTCCAGGACAGATTATACAAGTTCACACTTCGGATGTGCAAATCTGGTCTGTCTTGTTGGACTTTCCACAATGCACACTGTAGAGTTTTTAAGTGCCCATGATGTGCCCCCCCACCCCACCCCCACCCACCAC